ATTACTCCTGGTTGAGGACCACTGGTTTATGTATGTTTTCACATTACAAAGGCAGAGTAGAGACTCTAAGACCACAAAGCCTAAAATATTTACTATCCAGCCCTTCACAGAAACAGGTCTGTTGATTTCTTTTGTCATTAGAAAAGGCAGAAAATACATGCTAGACTAAGAAAACCAACTGCAAAGTATATGACAAAACAAAATTTCTATAAACTGCTTTAAAAACTACTCCAATTTAACAAAGGGAATACATAAAAACAAGCAATTCACAGAAATAAAATTCAAATAACTCTTAGGCATGATACATACTCAACCTGACAATTAAGAAAATGCAAATTAAAGGCACTCTCTTTTCTTCAATTTAACAAAAGGTTCAGTCCTTGTTGACATTGTTGGGAATGCACATAATTGCTAGATTAATGTCGAATTTCAGAAAATAAGGCATTAACCACTGCATTTGAAAGATACTATGCTGTGGGGTCCCTGAGTGGCTCAGTGGGTTAAAGCCTCTGCCTTTGCTCGGGTCATGATCCCAGGGTCCTAGGATCGAGCCCCACATCGGGCTCTCTGCTCAGCAGGGAGCCCGCTTCCTTATCTCTCTGCCTGCCTCTCTGCCTACTTGTGATCTCTGTCAAATAAATAAATAAAATCTTTAAAAAAAAAAAAAAGAAATATACTATGCTGTATCGCAAGGGATCCAACTGGAGGGAATCTACCCACTCAGCAAAAATATAAACATCAATATGAAACAGTACATGAGTAGTAAAATTGTACAATTGTCTGTAAAATAACCTGAACGTTCACTGATGAAAGTACATATATTATGTATGAAAGTACATATATTATGCTTTGTCTTTATGATGAATGAGTCTAAAGCTAAAAAGTTACACCTGTAGGTACTGACTGGAAGGAAGACCAGTTATGGTATGTTACCAAGTGAGAAAAGGTGACTGCACTTCAATATGTAAGCGCAATCCCATTTCAACCATGCTAAACACACACATATACACCACCACCACCACCACCATCACCACCAAAACAAACTTTCTAAACATGGGCATGCTTCTTGAGTATGGCAGAAAGTATGGAAGGCTATTGGTATTGGCAATTCAGAGAATAAGTGTAGTTCTTTTTTTTTTTTTTTTTTTAATTTCATTTATGATCCCTACACCCAGTGTGGGGCTCGAACTCACGACCAAGATCAAGAATTGCATGCTCTTTGGGCTCCCTGAGTGGCTCAGTTGGTTAAGCATCTGCCTTAAGCTCAGTTCATGATCCTGGGGTCCTCAGCAGGGAGTTGGCTTCTTCTCCTCCCTCTGAACCTCCCCCCTGCTCATGGCTCTTGCTTGTTCTCACTCTCAAATAGAAAAAAAAAAGTTGCATGACCTTCAGACTGAGTCAGTCAAGCACCCCAACAGGTTTTTTAAAAATCTTTTCAATATACCCCTTTTTTTTGGTAAAATATGTTCTATAAAATTAGAATACAACTTTTAAGTCTTGAAAACAGAAATATGTATACATGGACAAAAACTGAAAGAAAATCATCTAACATTGTTATGACTGAAAAAAAATATTAGAAGTTATAATGAAACCAGTACCATGATCATGCCTAATTTTGCCTACCTTTATAATCCTTCAGTACCTTCTATGGGCATAACTTGTCCGCTTAGAACAGTATACAAAACTTTCAAGAAGAGACTTATGAAATAATTATGCCAGTGCAGATAAAATTTAGCAATCACTTCCCACCTTTAAAAAAATGCTTAGGGGCACCTGCCTGGCTCCATCTGTAGAGCATGTGACTCCTGATCTCAGCATCTTGAGTTCAAGCCCCACGTTGGGCATAGAGCCTACTTAAAAAAATAAAAATTAGGGGCACCTGGGTGGCTCAGTGGGTTAAGCCTCTGCCTTCAGCTCAGGTCATGATCTCAGGGTCCTGGAATCGAGCCCCCCATCGGGTTCTCTGCTCAGCAGAGAGCCTGCTTCCTCCTCTCTCTCTGCCTACTTATGATCTCTCTCTGTCAAATAAATAAATAAAACCTTTAAAAAAATAAATTAAAAATGCTTGCATTTTTATTGTAATTGTCCTCCAATGGGCTGACATTCTCTATGACTGATTTAATGTACCACATAATACATGTTTACATTAAACTTATTTGAAGTATGTATCATTTTCTGAAGTGTGAGGCTACCATGGAATACACTGGATGGTGATTATTCCAAATATGTCTGCAGCCCATGAGGTAGGATTAAATGGATAACTGCAGTGACTTCACAGCAGTTGAATATATATACGCTGTAACAGTTTCTCATTTGCTACTTTCTGTGGGAAATCATAATTTTAGGGTCTAGTTTTCAATGTGTAAATACTACCTTTATGTGTTACATTAAAAAACAATTGGACAGGGCGCCTGGGTGGCTCAGTGGGTTAAGCCGCTGCCTTCGGCTCAGGTCATGATCTCAGAGTCCTGGGATCGAGCCCCGCATCGGGCTCTCTGCTCTCTCGGGGAGCCTGCTTCCTCCTCTCTCTTTCCCTCCCTCTTCCCCTGTTTGTAATTTGAAAAAAAAAAAAAAAAAATTTAAAAAAAAAAAAAAAAAAAACAATTGGACAGGTCATGAACCATTTTATTCCAAACAAGACAAAAACAAACAAAAACACTACTTTCTTCAATAGGCTGCTAGATTTGATTTCCTATTTTAATTGGAATAATCATATACCGTAAGTACAGTAGATTATTTTTAGAGCTGATTTGATTTGGATGTTGTCCTTTTCCAAGTTTCTTTATAGGGTTACGCTAGCCTCATAGCTGTGACTGTATCTTGGAAACTTAGATTTTATCTGTTAGATATGCTGATAGTAGAGGAATCACGTATACCTCTTTAATCAGTTTTTTTTTAGTTGGTTCTTACTTTATTCAGAAAAATACTCTTTCAAGATTTCAGCCATGCTTTAAAGAGCTGAATATAAACACACACAATACAATGCTAAATGTAAAGAGAAAACAAAAACCATTTCCCATGTCTTACTGAAGCAAAGTAGAACATATATGTACCCGTTTAAAAAATATTTAATGCTCTTCCACATTTTCAGATATAGTATAAAAAGCTGAATATAAACATTTCCTCATCTTACTAAATTAAAGGTGTACACACACACACACACACACACACACATACTTTTTTTCCCCAGGACTCAGGTCTATCATAAAAAATTGAGTATAAACTTAAAACAGATATGCATGAAGTTTGTTATTTTACTCAAAACTCAGGGGCAGAGCAGCTCTGCATCGTTTCCTCAGTTCAACAATGTCAAGGATGCAGGTAATTCCAATCTATCCTGCATATCAATCTCAGCCTTTCACCCCTCCGGTAGCAAAATGGCCACAATGCTGGTATCACACAGACAGACAGACATGCATCCTGTATATAAGAGGACTATTTCCTCCTATTTTGTTGGGCAAGAAAATTTAACCTGAAGCCTACTTGCAGAATTTTGCTCAGCTCTTGTATGGCTAGGACTGTTACATATATGCCCAGATGCAAACCAAACTAGGAGAGCAAGACCTAGACTTTAGATGAGCAGCAGACAGTCCTGGCAAAGGGAGAATGGCTAACAACAACGGATAGGCAACCAACAGTGTCTGCCACAACAACATTGCCTTTTTTCTTTAAAACTCCTTTTTTGTAGTTACATTTCCTCTCATTCATGATGCTTGAGGGTTTTCCCCTCCCATTTCAGGAAGTTTTCAAGGTTTGTTGTTGTTGTTGCTTTGTTTTTGGCTTTGCTCTTAACTGGTTAGAGCTTTTCTACACACTAGAGCGGACTGCTTATTCATTCACTCTCTCATTCCTCAGATTTCAACAAGTGTTTCCAGGGAACCTATTAGAACAGCCTGTACACCAAGTACAGTGCACTGACAATGAATTGTGGCCGTTAACTGTCCATATTTTCTACACATATTAAAAGAAGTTAATTTTCCTAAGGATAGCTCTGTTGCATCCTACAACTTTCAACATGGAGTTGTCATTCACTCCAAATTGTAACTTGCCTTGATTTCCTTTCCCCTAGTGAGGCAAGAGGGCAAGGTGAACAAAAAGTCCAGTTTTCAATTATTCTCCAGAAGGAATTACCTGACATTCAAAAGATGATATAAGATGTTCCCATAGTCATGGTACACATAAAAGCCTTCCTCTCATATGATCTCTATCCACAAATATGAAAATAAATAGAAGCAGCTATTTAACTCACTTTCAATATGAGCCATACAGTATTCTATGGGATATAATGTAATTATTTAATCTTATAATACTGATAAGATGGTGCTAACATTATTAATTTATAACTGAGAAAGTTTAGATCTAGTTAAGTAATTTGCCCTAAAAGGCAAGTAAAAGACTGAGTATTGCTTAAATCCTTTACCACTCTGCCTCAGTTTAAGTTAATTTTAGAGGACAAGCTTGCAAATATTTAAGATCTGAGCGGGATGGAAGAATCAGCTGCATTTTTAACATTACTGCAGTCTTCCTCAAGTATGAAGTGAGATGAGTAATTTGTTAGCTAAAGCAAATTGGTCTCCTATATTTATGATATTTGTATTATAAATCCTCTTGATTTCCCCCAGGCCAAATGACCCTGATGTTGCAAATCGTTGGTATGACAGTCTCTGACACATTAACTGTCTTCCAAAGACTTCCCCCTTTCCTTACATTCAAGGAGTTTTTTCACTTTAATATCAATTGAACCTTGATATCTAATAAATTTTGAAACATAAAGAGAACCCTCCCAATCCCTAACATTTGTAAAGTATATCAACATTAACACATGTCAAATAAATTATGGCCCTCAAATAAAGGCCCTGATCCACAGTGTAAGCTCCGATATTAAGTTATTTTCAAAGGCTATCCCACATTCCTTAAAATCACAGGGGGTTTTGTGTTTTACTAGTTTGACTTTGCAGATGTCCATAAAATTTTGAGCCTTCCCACATAACTTCATTCACTCCTCTTTCCTGTGTGAATTCTTTGATGTTTACTAAGGTGTGAACCACGAATAAAGGCCTTCCCACATTGCTTGCATTTGTAAGGTTTCTCACCAGTATGAATTTTCAGGTGTCGATTAAGTTCTGAGCCACGACCAAAGGCTTTTTCACATTCCTTACACTTATAGGGCTTTTCACCACTATGACTTCTCTCGTGATGAGTAAGTTCTGACTTTCGAATAAAGGCCTTCCCACATTCCTTACATTTATGAGGTCTCTCACCAGTGTGAACTTTTTGATGTCGAATAAGTTCTGTGCTACAGGTAAAGGCCATTTTACATTCCTTACATTTATAGGGTTTCTCACCAGTGTGAGCTCTCTGATGTCGAGTAAGTTCCGAGCCACGACGAAAGGCCTTCCCACATTCTTTACATTTATATGGTTTCTCACCAGTATGAACGCTCTGATGTCGAATAAGATGGGAATCAGAGATAAAAGCTTTCCCACATTCCTTACATTTATGAGGTTTCTCACCAGTATGAATTCTTTGATGTAGACTCAGTTGTGAGGCACAACTATATACCTTTCCACACTCCTTACATTCATAGCGTCTCTCACCAGTATGAATTATCTGATGAAGACTAAGTTGTGTGTCGTAACGGAAAGCTTTCCCACATTCCTTACATTTATGGGGTTTCTCACCAGTATGGATTCTCTGATGTCGAAGAAGATGTGAGGGACGGGTAAAGGCTTTCCCACATTCCTTACATTCATAGTATTTCTCATCAGTATGAATTCTCTGATGTAAACTAAGTTGTGAGGTAGATGGAAAGGCCTTCCCACACTCCTTACATTTATAGGGTTTCTCACCTATGTGGATCTTTTGATGTTTACTAAGTTGTGAGTTAGAATGAAAGGCTTTCCCACATTCCTTACATTTATAAGGTTTCTCACTAGTATTAATGCTCTGAGGTTTAGTTGTTTCAGAGCCATGGATAACAGCACATTTCTTATTTTCTTTACTTTTTTTGCTTTCATGAATTCTCTGATGCTTAATCAAGTCTGACTTACTATTAAAGGCTTTCCCACATTCTCCACATTTAGAGTCTTTTTCCTTATTATTATTTCTTTCATGTTGAATATGGTGTGACTGGCACCTGGAAGTTTCCTTACATCCCTTGCATTCGTAGGTTTTCACTCTGGTATGAACTGTCTGAGGCACTCTCTGAACTGCGTTCTGAGTGGAAGTGGACCTTTCCTCAGAGGTTATAACAGGTTGTCTGAAATGTCCCTCCTGTTGTTTCTCCAAGTGGCATTTGATTTCTCTGTTATTTCCAAACCTAGTGAACTCAAGGTCGGAGCTTGTGAGTCTTTTTATCTCCAGGTGCAATGATTTAATTTCATAACTGTGCTCCTTTGGAAATAAATTCTTGGTTTCTCTTCTGGACTCCCAATCTGTAAGATAACAAGAGAGAAAATAGGAGGTATTTTCATGTGGCAGGAGAAGGGAAGTTCTAAGGTAGAAATGACAAACTAAACATAGTGAATAATTTAAATAACTCTTTTTTTTTTTTTTAAAGATTTTATTTATTCATTTGACAGAGAGAGATATCACAAGTAGACGGAGAGTCAGGCAGAGAGAGAGAGGAGGAAACAGGCTCCCTGCTGAGCAGACAGCCCGATGCGGGGCTCGATCCCAGGACCCTGGGAACATGACCTGGGCTGAAGGCAGAGGCTTTAACCCACTGAGCCACCCAGGCGCCCCAATTTAAATAACTCTTAACACAGCACTGAAGTTTGGTGGGGGATTGGGGGAGTGGGGGAGCCCACGGTCAAGGGTCAGGGGAGAAGAGAATAAAGTATATGAGGGGAACTTGTGAAGGAAGTAGTTCTTCACCTCTGGTGAAAATCAGAATCAGCTGAGGAACATTACAAATACGATGTCCAGGAACCACCTAAGACCAACGAAATGAGAATCTAGAGGAAGACATGAATTACATGTAACAGCAAGTCTTCTCATCTCTAGCTTCAAAATATATCCAGATCTTGACTACTTCTCTCTACCAGTATCTCTACCACCTTGTCCAAAGCCATCTCTCACCAAGGTTAACACACTTTCTTAACAGGTCTCTCTACTTTCCCTGCTGTCCTCCTAATATCCCATACCTAACACAGTGGCAAGAGTGTTCTTGTTAAGTTAGATTAAGCCTTTTGTCTGCCTCAAAGTCTCCACTGGATTTCCCTCTTTCGCAGAGTAAAAGTCGAAGTCCCTATGTGGTCTATAAAATCGTCCCTGAATTTGTCTCACACTACCCTCTTTCTGACCTTACTGCCAATCTCCTCCCTTCAGCTGACTCTGCTCCAGCTCTTTAACCAACTGGATGTTCTTCAAACTTGTGAAGCACATTTCTCCTTCAGAATCTCTGCCTCTTCCCTAAGAGATCCATATAGCTTAGTACTTCATTCTAACCTCTACTCAAACATGAGGCCACTCTTTACGAAACACACCCCTTATTACTCTACTTACTGTATTTTTTAGCAGTGCACTTATCATGTATCATTTTATCTATTTCTCCAACATTATTTTTTAAAGATTTTATTGATTTCGGGCACCTGGGTGGCTCAGTCGTTAAGCATCATGATCCTAGTGTCCTGAGATCGAGCCCCACATCGGGCTCCCTGATCAGCGGGAAGCCTGCTTCTCCCTCTCCCACTTCCCCTGCTTGTTCCTTGAGAGAGAGTTCCTTGTTCCTTGAGAGAGAGTTCCCTCTCTCATTGTGTTTCTGTCAAATAAACAAATAAAATCTAAAAAAAAAAAAAAATAAATAAATAGATTTTATTTATTTGGCACACGAGAGAGAGAGAGAGAGAGAGAGAGAGAGTGAGCACAAGCAGGGGGAGCAGGAGAGGGAGAAGCAAGGTCTATATAATGATTGGTAAAATGGTGTTGGTATTTTATGCTGTATGGGAAGTTCCAGAGAGATGTCAGAAGATGCTATTATTTCAAATATTCTGGAAAAACAATCTGGTAGAAAAGGAAAGCTATAAAAAGCATGGATTCAAATCATAAATTTGGACCTTAAAGGAATGCGCAAATCAAAAAGTAACATTCATCAAGGATGCTCCCGTTGCTCCCTTCCTGCGCACTCTTCAGAGCTACAGAATCATTCCCCTAAATTGACCTTGAGTCTCTCTGCTTTCCCTACTCCATGGTCTCATTCTAGCACAAGGCGAAATCACCTGGACTTCCCAAACAGGCTTCTTCCTAGCAAGTTACACCATTTTCACTCATGAATCCTCTGATTCAATCTGTACAGGACAGCCAGAGAGAGGTCTTAGAAATCCGATCATCTTTTCCTCTTGTTTAAAACCTTCAATGGCTGCCAAGTGTCCTTAAGGAAAAAAATCCAAAGTCCTAGGCATGGTTGAGAAGGGCCTGCATGATGTGGACCTCCATTCAGGTCGACCAGGACACCCACCCGCTACTTCTCTCCTCAGGGCCTTCAATGAATAGGTTCTTCTACCTTCTATAGCATTTTACCATACCACCTAGATCCTACTACTGCTCCTTCCAGCTTTGTATCCTTTGCCAAGATCTGAAAAGACTTAACAGTCTGGTAATAATTCTATTAGTAATATTAGTAATATTACTAATATTGGTAATATTCAGCTCCTAATATTCTCTCACAGCAGACCCTTACCTATAACCATCTGCCCCAAAGACCCTCATTTCTCCAGCCATTGTACAGGCCAGTTTTCTAAAAAAGAAAACCTGCAGGGTTATCAGTGATTAGGGATTTAAATCAGTCCTTAAATCAGCATACTTCTTGACCCTAGCTACTTCCTAGGTTATTCATTGTTACCTTTTATTTCATTCCAAGTATTTTGTAGCATCCTTTTTATACAACCAAAACAATGCTGACTCTAAAAGTTATGTATCCGGCTTTATTCAACTAAGCCTTATACCACTGTTTCAAAAAAATATATTTTTAAAGATTTTAGTTATTTGACAGACAGAGATCACAAGTAGGCAGAGAGGCAGGCAGAGAGAGGAGGGAAAGAAGGCTCCCTGCTGAGCAGAGAGCCTGATGCAGGGCTCGATCCTAGGACCCTGGGATCATGACCTGAGCCGAAGGCAGAGGCTTAACCCACTGAGCCACCCAGGCACCCCGTGTTTCAAAAATATTTTATAAAAATATCTAAAATGCCAAAGGTTCTGTATCCCAATTGTGGTAATAGTTATATAAATCTATACATGTCATAAAATTTCATAGTAATATACACCAAAAAAAAAATAAATAAATAAAAATAAATGAGTATATGTGAAAATCAGTGACATCTGAATAAGGTCTACTTATAGTTTCACCACTACTATTCTGTCAACATCAATTTCCTGGTTTTGACAGTGTACTAGGAATAGGTATTATTATTATTATTATTATAATACCTGTATTATTTTTGTAACTCCTTTGAATCTTAAATTATTTCCAAATAAAAAGCTAAAAAAGAAATGGTAAAAGTTATAAGCATGTATGTACCTAATAAGAGAGCCCCAAAGTACATGAAGCAAAAACAGAATGGAAGAAAAACGGACAATTCAACAAATTGAAGACTTTAATGCTCTACTTTCAGTAACGGATAGATCAACTAGCCAGAAGATCAACAAGAAAAAACATGTTCTTAAATAACTGATGGGTCAAGGAAGAAATCAGAAGACAAATAAGAAAATGCTTCAGGTGGATGAAAGGAAAACTTAACACACCAAAACGTATGGGATACAGTTAAAACAGATTCTAAAGGGAAATTTATAGCTTAAAATGCCTATATTAAACCTCCCCCCACAAAACCCAATAAAGGTCTCAAATCAAATTATGGAACTAGATAAAGGACAAAGTAAACCCAAAGATACCAGAAAGAAGAAAATAACAAAGATTAGAGGGCAGATAAACAAAATAGAAAAAGAAGAACAGGGAAACCAACAAAACTGTCAAACTTTTAGCCATAGTGACCAAGAGAAAAAAAAAGAAAGAAGACAAATACTGATATCAGGAATGAAGGAGGGATAACACTACCAACCTTACAGAAATAAAGGGCTAGGGATAGGTGTGGGGACTGACTACTTATAGGTATGGGATTTCATTTTGGGGCGATGAAAAGGTTCTAAAATTAGATGGTTGTCACAGTTGCAAAACTCTGTTACGGTATTAAAAACCACTAAACAGGACACTTTAAGTGAATTTTAGGATATGTGATTTCTATCTTTATTAATAGAGCCAGCTGCTTTAAAGACGACAAAATTGGACCCAAAGTGCTGGGAAAATGGTTGTCTCATGGGAAGGAGGAAAGTGCTTCCTTCCTGAAATCAGAAGCAAATATGAGGAAGCGTAGCAAGAGTGGTAAGTAGAGAGAAAATTTGAGCCCTTATGCTGACATATCCTTCCTTTTTTCTCCAGATCTTGGACCTTTTTAGCAGGCTTTCCTACTAACAGCTCAGCCATGTTGCTTTCTCATTGGCCCCCTGGGTGACCACCTGCCACAGTCGTCCTAATAGGAGTCACCATCACTCACCTGGGCACCATTCTTTTTTATCCTGATTCTTAACCATCCAGGGCTCCTTCCCCTGCTCCAATAAGGAGATCACATCTGGCTTAGAATCAGAAAGTCCTACTCAAAAAAAAAAAAAAAAAGACAAATGTTATTGTATGTGCACCAGAATTAAAATCAATCCATGATTATCTTTTTAAAATTATTTATTTATTTATTGACAATTTTATTTATTTATTTGACAGTCAGAGATCACAAGTAGTCAAGAGAGGCAGGCAGAGAGAGAGGAGGAAGCAGGATCCCAGCGGAACAGAGAGCCTGATGCGGGGCTCGATCCCAGGACCCTAGGATCATGACCAGAGCCGAAGGCAGAGGCTTCAACCCACTGAGCCACCCAGACGCCCCTAAAATCAATCCATGATTATCAAGAAAGAGTAAGCAGGTTAAAGATCAACAGAAGGGGTGAAGGTCAGAGGAGCAAAACAAAAAAGAAAAGTTGTCCAATGGAGCAGTCCATTATTATTTTTTTTTAAGACTATTTATTTATTTATTTGACAGAGAGA